AGCCGCCAGACCCCCTCAGCTAGAGAAGAAGAACCAGTTGCCGGAAGGTAGCTGACTGCCGCCCGCCGCCGTGCCGAAGCCACCTCTAACCGCCAAAAGAGGTAAAAAAAAATTTATTCGCTCGAAATTCAATTTTGAACACCACCATAGCCAAATTGGCGCAAAAGGACCGGCGGATGAGCCGAAAATCGCAGGTAAAGTCCAACGGCACCGCCACAAGAAAAAAAAAATGTTTCCGATGAGACCATTTCTGATTCCCGTTTTATGCAAATTTTCCACCATTGTATTCACAATTTTGTTTTCCATAGGTTGACCGAAGAAAAATATCCAACTGTGAAGGTGAGTCAGCAGAGCCGTCGCACCGGAAAACCTGCAGTCGATAAACTTTTGTTTTTTGATTTTTTTGACTAACCGAGGCCCCTTAACGTGTTTTCTCGCAGGGATGAGTGTAAAACCAGATGAGATTGGGCAAAACTGGCTGAAAACAGCCAGCCTGAGGCAAACCACCGCCTGCGGCGACGGTGCCATCCCTGGAGCATGGTGGCGCTGCCATGCCAGAATCTCAAAATTGGTTAGAAAGTGTTTATAACATCGATTTTAGATTTTTGAGGTATTTCTAGGTACTTAGAACGTACTTTAAGCTCTGAAGAAAAATTCAGGGAACTCGGGGACTGCTAGTAGGCGCAGCTAAAAGTTTAACATTTGGACACCAATTTGGGTAAGAATCACTCACCCTATTTTTTATTATAGAATTGAAGTTTAATTATAAATAATTTAGTATTTTATACAATTTAGAAAATCTCGATAATTAATCATAGTTTACTAATGGAGGCAAAACTAGTTATTATTCACTGTTTATCCTGTTTGATTGATTTTACAGTTTTTAATGCATGATAATACACTGGAGTTGATAAGATAATTTAGTTGTATTTCTTTGATGCATGTATTGCTTGTTTTGCGTAATTTACAGTTAAATTATGAAACTAGAAATTAAATGTAAACGAAAAAATTGTTTGATTAAGTAAGTGAATGAATGGTAGTCTTACTGGATATCCTACGAGATAGTGGATGGACAAAGTACATAAGGAACCCTACCATAGGAGATAGTGGATTGACAAAGTACATAAGGAACCCTACCATGAACGCTGCCTCATACCGGACGGGGTATGGAGGATTGGTATTTGACACTCATACTGGACGGGGTATAGGGACGACCCGTTTCACCCTCATACCAAACGGGATATTGAAGGATGAAATTTTTGGTGCTCATACTAAACGAAGTATGAAGACGGGCAGTTAATTGAAAATGTTGAATAAGGGTTCACGCGTAGTAGAAACATCCTTATGGACCCCCATAGATACCAATAGGCAAATAAAAAGCAAAGTTTGTTGTTTTGGTTTATGTACATGAGATTATGAGATTGTTTGTGCCATTACCTCTATAAGTCAGTTTTAGAAATTTCACTATGGTAAGTATATAATAAATAATTTTACTTATGATAAATGAATTCATTTAAAATAAGAGGTCCATTAGTTATTTTTATGACTTTTACAACATCATTCTGTATCGGTGAGTAGTGTGACATTCTTACTGGGTTAGTGTAGCTCACTCTTTCATTAATCATTTCAGATCAAAAGGACCAAGGTCCAGATCCCAATCTACAAGAGGGTTGCGAATAGAATATTCAGTTTGTTTACTTTTCATTATTTCTTTAATTATTAGTTATTCTTTTAGAATGGTCATTCCCATAAACCTATTGGATATTCTGAATTATTGTGTAAGAAATATAAACCTTAACGCTGTTATTTCGCTTCTGCACTTAATTTATAATTTATTTCCTTTTAAGTTTCGGACTATTACATCTACATCTTAAGTTTGACCTAGTTGATTCATCCTTTAATTTTCATTCTTAGTTTTCGAGAAAATCAACTTTGATTTTCTAAACAAGTAATTTAATAATAATTTTAAGAAGGAATCACATTAAAACTTCTATTGGTTAATGTTAAAAGTTGGGTTGCTCAACCCAAATAACCCAACACCCTATCCTACCAAAATTTATGATCCTAAACAATAAATTCTCCACTAGATGAACTATTAGAGCCCATAACATACTTATACTTATGTGAGCAAGGAAAGGGAAAAAAATTATTCTTAAAGGGAGAATCAGCTAAGGAACAAATTTTCTTCCTAAACTGCATGAGAAATCGAGAGAAAGAAGAAAAAAATCTCATGCTTTAATGGGAGATTGAATCTCATGAATTTTGGTAGATTATGGGATTAATTAATCCTTCCCAAACTATCATGATCTTCCTTAATTCTTCCCTCAATCATCTTCACAATTAATTAAAATTTTCTCTAATTGAAAAAAAAGATCATATTTATCATATTTTAGAAAATAATTCTTTTAATTGTTGCAACTTTCTTATTCTATTTTAAATTTATTTTCTTATGTAATTTTGCCATTAATTTAGGATATTATTTTTCTTTATTATTCACATGGCCTACACTATAAATAGGTCATCAATTTCTAGTTGTAATAATAAAAAATTGATATCAATAAAAATTAAGCTTTTAGTTTTGATTAGCCGTTGGTTAAGTTGCTCTTAGGGAGGTGTCTTCAACTTTCTTATTGAGTGGGGAATTGATATTTACTTATCAAGTTAACTAGTGACGTTTTCATCAATCTCTTTCTTGAGTTAATTTTAACTTATCAAGGTTTTCTTTGTGGCGTTTTAATTAATTCAATTATCCATACTAGTTTCTTTTTACTTCCTTGTTGAGTATGGGTCAAATAGAGATGATTCATTTAGGGATAAATTTCTACATGCTAATATTATATGTGAGATTTTGAATTACATATTTTGATCTCGGGTTCCACATCATTATAGACAAGATTTTTTATCATGTTAATTGATCACGAGTTCTGCATAATTTGGTATCAAAACTTAGACTCAAAATAAATTTTACTATCTTGTATATTTTTTTATTCTTCATATTAAAAAAAACATACATTGTATCATTTTTTACAAAAAAAAAAACAAAAAAAAAATCATATATGTATTGTCTTTTTTATCCTTTAAGTTTCTTTCTTTTATTGTGTTTTTGTTCCATTACATCTTTAAGTAGCTAATTTGCATTCTACTTACTTAGTGTCATGTATTTTACATAAAATACACATTATCTTCATTTATGTATTTGAACTCGCTACTTCTAGAATTGGTTCACCACTGTCTTTCCTAGGATTATTTAAAGTTCATAAACAAAGCTTGATTACCTTGATTCGAGAAAAATTCAATTCTGACATTCAACTTGTAATAATAAAAAAATTGAGATCAATAAAAATTAAGCTTTTAATTTTGATTAGTCGTTGGCTAAGTTGCTCCTTAGGGAGGTTGATGTGAGCAAGAAAAAGGAAAATAATTTCTTCTTAAAGGGAGAATTAGGTAAAGAGTAAATTTCCTCCCTAAATTGCCTGAGAAATAAGAGAAAGAGAAAAAAAAAATCTCATGGCTTAATAGGAGATTGAATCTCGTGGATTTTGGGAGAGGATAGGAGCAATTGATCATTTCTAAACTTATCATAATCTTCCTTAATTCTTCCCTCAATTATCTCCATAATTAATTAAGATATTCTCTAATTAAAAGCAATATCATATCTATCACATTTTAAAAGCAATTCTTTTAATTGTTGCAAGTTTCTTATTTTATTTTCTTATGTTATTTTGCCATTAATTTAGAAGATTATTTTTTCTTATTATTCACATTGCCTACATTATAAATATGTCATCAATTCCTAGTTATAATAATGAAATTTGAGATTAATAAAAATTAAACTTTTAGTTTTAGTTAGTCGTCGGCTAATTACTCTTTAGGGAAGTATCTTCAACTTTTTTATTGAGTGAGTAATTGATGTCTACTTATTAAAGTAATTTATGATATTTTCATCAATCTCTTCATTGAATTTATTTTAACTTATTAAAGTTTTCCTTGTGGTGTTCTAATTAATTCAATTATTTTTATTATCTTGGTTTTCACTCTTCTGTTGAATGCAGGTCAAGTAGGAAGAATTTATTTAGGGATAAGTTTCTGCATACTAATATTATATGTAGGATTTTGGATTGCATATTTTGATCTCGAATTCTACATCATTATATGCAGAATTTTTTATCACATTAGTTGATCATGGGTTTTGCATCATATACCTTGCAAGTCCTCTTCCAAGAACAAAGGAGCTCATTCTCAATTCACTCTTCTAGGAACGGTGGAGTCATTGAGAAAACTCAGCTAATTTATCACGCTATCATCAGCTGTCAAATTCACTGAATCCTCAATGCAACAGCAGATTATCAATAATGCAGAAGGCAAGAAGCGTGAAGGGAATTAACATACTACTATCCTATGAATTCATATGCTGCATTCTACCAAAATGGGCCACGGAATATCAATATCAACAAATAATCTATTGAAGGGAGTTAAACAAATTAAGAGTCCAAATACTCGTCTTAAAGAAGATAAACTCAGAAAAATATTACCCTTAAACCTTTATAGTACAGCCCTGTGAGTCCTACTCTGTGAGTATATGGCATGGCAGACGGCCAAATGCAAAAAGACTACGGTTTTGATTCTTCTACTTTTAACAACTATGCTGATATATGTTCTCCCAAAAAAGTAAGTAAACCGATGCTCATTATTGATCTGCAATTTACATGATTAACTATCCATGGGCACCAAAGCAATGATGCAGACAAAATCTACATCCCGCACTATAAACCAAAGGTGCACAAAGCTGTTATTCTCAAACTGTGAAAATCTTCCTAACCTTCTTCATCTTCCTACGACAAATAGGACAAGTACCAGCAGCCTCTGCTATCCTGCACAGATTATATCAAAACATGCATCGTATTAGTACAAATTTTGAATAGTTTCCTATGGGTCAAGTTGACAAAAATGCCGAACTAGGACCAAGAATGCTGGGGTCATTAAGGTAGAATAAGAGCTTTTGTTTATGTACAAACTAAGAGGATTTAGCCAGGAGAAAGGTTGAGTTGGTTCAAATTTCAAGTCCATAAAATAGGAATGGTAAATACAATATAAATGAAATACAAACTTGCAAGAAAATAGAAAATTTAAATCCAAGGCAATTTCGTGTCCAAATCGAGTTAGATGCTTTTGTTATTCTTTCCTTAACAAGCACGAACACAGAATTTATGGTTGTAGAACTGAAAATATTTAAAAACTTTATTCATTTATATAATGTATAAATTGTAATTAACTTTACGCAATGGAAGAACCAACACACAAGAACGAATGTGAACAAGCAATCTCACAAACCATGATTCATAAGAATATGTTATTTTTAAAAAAGTGATTCATAAGAATAAGATGTTGGAGATTAGTTACTTTACCTTGTTCCACATTTAAAACAAGCCACACAATGCCCACAAGGAAGAAAGAAGCAATCTCTGGGAGCATCAAAGCATATTGCACAGAGAGGTCGAGTATTATTGCTATTTTCACAATCTTGTACCAACTTTCCATCAATGGAACCTGCTACCAGATGATTGTCTAGATCGTTGTCGTCATTCGAGGCACAATCATAAGATGAACCTTGACTTGCGCTATCATCATCTTTGTTTGAAAGCAGGGGAGCTCTTTCAGGTCCCATTTCCCCATGTTGAGCTGCAGCTTCATCTTCATGGTTAGATCGGAACTGTTTTATCAAGTGGAAGGCCACCAACATGAGAATAGTCAATCCACCTACAAGCAAAGAAAGTAAAGCATAAATATCTTTTATTAAGGTTGCAGGACAAAAAATAAGAGGAAGAAGGTTACCTATGCCAATGATATATGTGGTCCACCTTGGCTCATATGACAATCTGATATACCACTCACTGGACATATTCTGAAATCATAAGGATCAAAAGCCATTTGACTGAGAAGGGAAAGTTAGGTTCTATATTTAACCAAGTTTGTGGTCAGCAACAATCGGTTTAGAAACAATGAGCAGAGTAATCCATGATGGTTTCTTTGAATGAAAATATGCAGCTATTATTTTTTATCTAACTTGCCTCTTGCAAAGCTTTGGGGATACTGGCTATCTAGACAGATAAGTAGAGTAGATTTTAGTGGCTTAAAGTTCTTCCTCTCTTGGTTATTCTCATTAGGGAACATGGTAAAATTTCAGATACTTGAGGTGAGAATAGCTGTCAAGAAAAAGCAAATACTTGCCTTTTCTGGAGCAGATGAGGCTAAGACAACTGGATTTCCCTTGGGTAACAAAACACCCAAACCACAACGGCCATTAATGAATGTACACTTGTAGTAAGCTTCCGAAGTATTATACAAGATACCCCTAATTCTGATATTCAGTTTCACCTGTACAGCGAACAGTAAACAAAAGAAACGGTATAATAAATGGTGATGAAAAAAATAATAATAATAATTTTAATTCATTCAGCTTCTACAAGTGTCATCATCATCATCATCATCATCATCATCATCATCATCATCAATCTTTCAATTTTCAGAGACATTAAACATCAGCCTTAAATACTTTGGAATAATGCATGTTATCAAGTGAACGGGCATTTGAACCTTCTTTTCACAAAATAATTACCTCAATAGAAGAAAGAAGAAAGAAACAAATGCAGAAAGATGTGTACAAACGTTCATTAAATTACTAGCTGTTGAGTTCTGTTGATAACTGGTTGAATTGTTGAGTTCTGTTGATAACTGGTTGAATTGTCAATTATCCCAAAGAAATATACTAGAATATAAACTATAAAAGTAGGTTCTTTCTTATTAGCTTCAAGTTTTTGAGACAACCAATCATCTAAAAATTGTACTTAGTATCGTAGCCAGAAATTAAGAGTTTTAATCTTGACTATCCTATTTAAATTTCACCTCAAGGTATAGTATCTTATGCTTTCCAATCCTTTCAGCCAGAGTGGATTTACGCACGAGGAATTGAACCTTTTTTTATCAATTAAAATCTTCTTATATTATAGTTCGTCCAACTTAATTCTCAGTTGTTTAGTAAACTTATTATGAAAAGGTTAAACTGTTAAAAAGAGCACAACTTCACTTTTTATATTCTAAATTCTCCCCCATATACAAGCAGAATAAGGAATTTAAATATGTGAGAACAAAAACCATCTTTGTAAAGGAGCTACTTCAGTGCCATGCTAATAATTGATTGCAAAACCTATTACCCAAAAAACTTGAAACCAATATGAAATAACCCAGTTTTTCCATTTATTTTTTCTTTTGAGATAACCAGTTTTTCCATTTATACTCTTAACAGGTTCTATTTCATGTCTATGTGTGAAAGTGATTCTTTATATTACCAAAAGAATGAGAAACCCTTCGTGCAAATGTAGCACGTGTCTGTGTGTGTCCATGTGCATGCATACATGCATGCATGTACACGTCATTTGAGCGTTTAGAGTGATAACTTTATACACGCAACATAATAAGAAACTATTTGTACTACATGGCATGTGCCTGTGTGCATGTTCGGTTCAATATGGTAACTTATATTTGCAAAATACTAAAGCCCTTCTCGCCTAGTGGGGTATCCTAAAGTAATTTACATAAAGATAACCCAAGAACAATCTTTGCCAAATAACCATGACAAAGTATTACTGTTTTCAGGTGTATGCCAAAAGATTTTGTTAAATCAGTTTAAAAGAATACTCCAGCAAACAAAACATGGTAACAAAAGCTGAAAGTATCAAAACAACCAAACCTAGTCTTCAAAATCTCCTAAGCTAACTAACTACTCACACACCTTAATGAGAGAGAACGAGAGATGCAAATATTACCAAATTAAATGCAAGAACAAATAATTTGGTGCTAGTCCTCTGTTATCTTGCTATCATCTTCAACAGGCTAAAGACAAAGTTGATACGAAAAGAAAAAGTGGAGTTTCGGATAATTATCTTAGAAGTTTCGCTAAGATCCTATGAAAAAACCTAAGAAACAAGTTAAACAAGAAGACATTAAATGTTCACAATTACCTCAACTTCTTTTGAGTTCAGGTTACCCACTGCAATATAGTAAGTTGAAGATTTATATAGTTCTTGCTCGATCACGCCATTTCCTGTCAAGAAGATGTTGTTACTATCCTATCATTTTATACAATCAAAATGTTAATTGTGCACTTCCATTTTACCATAAATGACATTCCATGACAAAGTGGTGTTAGGATATTTAGGGTCCAGAAGCCATCGGGCAAGGTCATCATCCCCTGCAATGTGCCATCATAACTTCCTAATATGAGCAGCGAAGTATGATGAAAAGAACACGCTACAGATAGAGCAAATAAAGGTCAAACTGCAACTGATCAAGCAATGATAAGAACCTATGTTTCCTTTCTGTTCTCTTTTGAATTTTTCTTGGCTAATGGTCTAAGGCACATACCAGAAAAATCATCAGATAATTACAAATTTAGTACAATCTTTTATATTGAGGTTGCTTTTAACTGATGGAATAAACACATTCTTAATACAGTTGCCCCTTCATTGAGCAACTATTTAGCTTTACAAAATGTTGCTACATTAAGCAAGTTGCTCCCAAGGATCCTTCCTTAATGTCTTCCTGTTCTGCAATGTAGCATTTATGACATGAATCCCTTAATCACAGAAAAAGCTACTATATGGAAGGTAATATAATGCTATGAGGTCCGTATAAATTCTTTTTTTTAAGGTGCAAAAGGATTCCACTTATATAATTGTTGGGTCTGACTCATATTTCAAAGTACTTAATACAAAGAGCGCCAGGCAGTGCAGTTTTTATTATGGATGGTTTTATACTCTTACTATCAAAGAAAAAGAAAAAAACCCTAGTTGTCGTAAGCCTTTGGAAAAGAGAACATGCAGGTGGTTCCCTGGCTGTAGTTAAACAGACATGCTGTGAACCTACATGAATAACATTTCTTCCCTTTTCTGTGTCTTGCTTTTACTTTAAAATGGTTATGTTGCATGAAACTACATTTTTTTGAAAGGTATTGCGTGAAACTAGACAACAATACAATCAACTGTCCTGAAGGCCTATATGGGTTTTTCATAGAGATGATTTTATGCTGCCCATACAATTGACATATTCAGTTTTCATGAATTCACTACTGTTTGGAAGCACCTCAACAGCCTCTCCATAAAAAGAGATTCTGATGAAAGAAAAGAGGATGATGAGATAACTACAATAAACATTATCTACATTGAACAAGGATTTGAGTGTACCTTGGGCGATAGCGAGGACAATAGAGGAGTTTGCAGATTTGAGTCTGTATGAAATGTTAATTACAGACCCCTTATTGAGATATTTCAGCCATTCCTGGATATAAAATGAAACACAGCAAATGCCACCTGAGTGATGAGAACAAAAGAACAACAAGCAACTTCCAAAACAAAAAAGTAACAAGAAAAATAAAGGAAAATATTTTGAAAATGAAAAAAAAAATCTACTTGCCTTGTGAGAGTCTGGCGGGATAGAGAGACGATGTGTTTCAGACCAGGTAGAAACAACATTAAGAGATGGAGATTTATAAAACCCATACAGTACGAGCCCAGGCTTTGCATCGCCTAACTCTTGAACCTACCATAAAGCATCAACACAATTCGAGAGGTTTGAAATGACATAATAGTCAATACAAAGTCAAGATTACAAGGAAGGTTATCATCACCTGTAGACTCTCCACAAAGAGGGGATTAGGTTGAAGGAGAATCGAAGTATTTGGTGCCAGCCGCAAATTCATAGAACCATAAAACCCCAACATCAGAATCATCGAAACTGTGACATTCAAATACAGATACGATCAATGTATATACATAAAACAATATAATTAACAAGAATTATCCAAAATCCGATCTAATTCCCAATCCTCTAGACTCTCGTTCAAATTAATGATCTCAGATACGTAGAAAAACGTACACCATTTAACCAGAAATGCTCATTCATTTTTTTTTAAAGGAGAGGAAATAAAGGGTACTAAAAAGAGCACAAACCGAAGAACCAGAAAGTAATGACGCCGGTGACGCAAGACCAGGAGTCATCGGACGCATCACCCAACGCCGCGAAGTTCCCTCCATAAGAAACACCAATTGGTCGGTACGGGGTCGGAGGCTGATAATCACGATCATAACCATCATTAGCATGCTGTTGATGATCGAACCGTTGGTAGCCATCCTGCTCGCAAACCTGCGGAGAAGAAGAAGAGGAAGACACCATTGAGGATGATGGTGAGGCAGCATTGGGTGAAGAATCCCTATCCATGGGCGGAGGTGAAGAGGATGAACCTAGTTGTGCGGTTATTGACAGAGAAAGTGAAGATCGAAGCAAAAGAACACAAATTATATACGAAAAAAAAAGAACCCTTAATAGTGAGCGAGGGTTACGATGAGATTAAATCATCCACCTCGAGGTCCATGAAGAGGGTTTGTGGGGACGAGTACCTGAAGAAATGATACGATCTTTCTTCTTTAGTTTTTGAATGGCAGTTGACACTTGTCCATCCTGCACAAGCTTCGAAGTCTTTCCGTTTCGTTCATCTGGCAAAATTATTCCAACTATATTTAAATAAAATTAAAATTTAAAAATTAAAAATTAAAAATAAGATATTTGTCTGTATGTTTCTATATAGTGGGGGCCACCACAATTTTAGTTTGAACTTTGACGGTGACGGTTACAATTGGTGATGACAATGGTCTTCGTTCTGTTTCATTTTAATTTTGACGGGTATTTTGTGTTTATTTCCTTTGGTTATCTTTTTAGTTTACTAACAATTTTATTTATAAATTAATATATATTTAATTTATAAATTTTACATAATTAAATAATTTTAAAAATTACAAGTTAAAAAGTCGAGAAAATAAATAAATAACACAAATAAAATTTGATTACTTTTGACATGAATATATATATATTTTTTTCAAAATGTATTCTTACATTTTAGTATTACAAAATTCATAATTTAATTACAACTTTCTTGTATTTAGCATTTGTAATATTTTAAAATTGTAATTTTTTTATTTCTATTTATATACTCTCATCTATAAATATTTTAAATATCTTGAGGATAAAATATTATTAAAAAAATCAAGATATATATTCATTACATGTTGGTCAAGTTAGAAAATACGAAAAATTATATTAAATCTTTAAATAAATTTTTAAGACTAATAGAGAAACACAACTTATGATAAATTCCCAAAAATATATATTTGAGACAAGTTTAAAAAAGTTTTAAGTCATATAATCACTATTTGCATGAGAGAAAGAAAAGATATATGTGTATATCTATATAAGATTACGATGTTTAAAGAATAACTATAAACCAAAATGAAAAAAAAAAAAAAAAACTAGAGTTTCTAGGTAAACTTTAATATATTAGCCAATTCATAACTTAGTTTAATTAGTTTATTCACTTATTTTTAAGTTATTAATAAAACATTAACTAATCATTTGAAACGAGCAGTGCTAAAAGTTCTTGAAAAGATTAAAACATATTTGGTGAATCCAATATTATTAAGATGCTCAAAACTTGAGAACCCTTTGGTCCTATACCTAACAATTAAAGAGGAAGCCAGAGGAGTTACACATACAAAACACATCATCTATTGCTTTAATAAAAAGTTATAAGAATATGAGTTAAAATACAATAAAATGTGGAACACTTATTTGATAATGACATGGTTACAAAAAATCATGATATTACTTTTAGTCTTATTATATCATATAAGTATATGCAATGGATTAACATAAGTATCTATGTGAAGTATTATTAGATAATTAATATTATGCATTGAATTTGGATATTATCAAAAGGAAAACCATAGTAAACTTATTGGTACCAAATCTAGTCAATGATAATGTTTAATTGAGGTGAAGTTCTCATAAGAGAATTTAAGAGCAATCTAAGTATAATGATGAAAAATATATTTTAACATAATAACCAATAATAAAATGAGAATAGTTAGGACTATCATTGTTGCATCTTTTCATAAAGCTATACCTATAATAAAAAGAAACAAAAATTTTACTTTTTAAAATTTCAAATAAAGAACCGATTGTGAACATGTCTATTTTGGTTAAAAAAATTTTAAACTATTTATACTAATTTTATTTGTGCTAATTTCACTATAGCTTTAAATAAATTCTAAAAATAAAAGTTGCAAAAACAAAATATATATTTAGAGATTGTTAGAAATTTTGATAGAAGATAAAAGAAAGAGAGAGATATGAAAAAAAAATTATAAGTAAGCATTTTATATGCGAGAAACTCGAAGATATGAATTAAGGAGACTTGATATACGAACAAAAGATAAGAAAACAAATAATTAAATGAGAAAAAAGAGACAAAAGAGTCATAATAAAGACAATATGTATCACCATACTATTACACCTGCAAACACAAAAGAGGTGTACATAAGCTAGCCAAAAACATACAAAGAATTGATTATAAATGGACGGATTTTCTCTTCTAAAGAATGAATATATAACTGTTTAAGTTTTAAAATAATAATTTTTTTTTTTAATTTTTTAAGGTTCATGATGAATTTACTATAAAATTATTAACATTTTAGTATTTTTTTCTTTAATTACAACTATTCTTTTCAATAAATATAACAATTAGTGTATATTTTTTGTTAGGATAAATAATCGATTAGTTATTATGTTATTGCAAAATATTTTAACTATTATTTCACAATATAACATAGATTTTTATCTCATATAAATTATTCTTTATAATTTTAAACAAATAATACTTAAAACTATGCTATCAGTACGATTCACAATATATATAGACTAAAATATTTATTAATTTTATTAAAAATTATTTCCATAATACCTTTAACTAGTAAAAAAGGTGATAATTATAATTGAATAAAGACAATTGCGTTAATTTTTAACATGTATTATGATATAGACATGTTGTGTTTGCTTCAAATATGTTTTGTTTTCATTTAATTTTTTAAAATTCAATTATTTAATATACATATATATATATAAGATAGTCATAATATACATATATATATTAATGCATGATTATATTAAAATAAAGGGTTTCCCTTCTTTTTCTTGTGGTGAATATATCTCTACTAAATTTGGAACTTTGCTAATCACATTAAAAAAGTCCAATATCTAACATAAAGTTTACTCTTTCCAAATAGCTTACAAGTAGAAGATGTGGACTACTCACTTGATTTAATATAGCCACAACACTTTTGTATCTAAAAAGAATGTAGTTAAATGAAAGGATCCATTATGTTGTGGGTAGAGGGAGAATTGTTCTACGAAGTTGAAGGTTCAATGTGATTTTAGAAGATCCATAGATAAGATGGAACAAAAACTGTGCCCGTGTAGCTCAGGTTTTTTTAAAGTTCGTCTTCTTTTATTTTGAGTAATTTCATCTATATCTTCAATTATATGATTATAAATTTTGTATTATCATATTTTAAAAAAAATGAATCAGAAAAATATATAAATTTTATTTGGTATAATTAATTTGAAATTGGAGTAATATTTCTACTCAAAATTTTAATTTATTTGTATTGCATTCTCTTTTCATCTTATATAGAACTAGAAAGTGAAGTATTCAATTTTTTGTTTTATTTTTTACTTATTTTTTCATCTTTACTTTTTATATATTACTATTAGTATTTAGAATTAGACTAAATCATACATTTCCTCTCTTCCATTGCTTTCAACTTAAAATTTTTAGGCATAGAAATTAACTTCCTACCCTTGAATGCATTCATAAGAATTTAAAAAAGAATTGGGATAAGGTTAAATGTATATACAATAATATGAAAAAACTGATGTATAATTTATATTGAAAATGAAATAGAAACTAAACCAAAAATGATTTTGACATAAGCCAAAATATACACACTAATGTTATTGTAAAAGCACACTCTACATCCCTCATCCTTAGAGCCAACTATTCACTTGCTATTTGTTCCTAAGGAGTAACTACTTATTGGCGTCTTTTATATATATATATATATATATATATATTAATGTTATTGTAAAAGCACATTCTATAATCTCTACCCTGAGAATTAGTTAGTTATTTACTATTTGTTACCAATGAATAATTATTTATTGATTTTTTGTTTATTATTAACTAATAACTAATAGTTGTTTAACCGGCTAAATTTTTGGTTAGTTATTTTATTTGAAAACCAAAAACAAAATTTCTAAAATTTTAAGCATCATATTCAAAACTACAAATTTATTAGCATCTTTCCAACAAAGTAGTAATTTGATGTAACAACTCTATAAC